GAGGGATCCCATTAACCAAACTGTCATATATCTTAAGCATCGTAGCGTACCTCAAACCTGTACACCCCATTTATGGGGTTCCTGTAAAATCCTTGCATCGTTTTTGTTTACCACAAAGAAGGAAGGCGGATCCCAGTTTCGAGATGCCATTCAACCTTCTGAATCTGCGGCTGTTACAAGTGGAATACGGCCAAGGGGGTTGTATGATAGTTGAAGGACATGACCTTCTGAACCATGCATGTCTTGAAGGTTTCCGCGTCGCCGGCATTTTCCGCTCAGCTGAGCCATGACCAACACCTCAGAGGGCGCGTATTATTCATTGCCAAGTTCAGCCAGTAATTATCATGTTTTCTCAAGTCCTAATCTTGTCCGCCTGTAGGCCTCAACAGAGGTATGTTTTTAGCTTGGAGCAATGTTTCTGCGCAGTGCAGTGGAGGTTGCTAGCTCGAAGCCCTAGTCAACCGCTCACGCTTTTCAGCGCACTCCACACTTTCTAGCTTCTACCGACCCCTTCCAAGTATTCATTCCCTCACATACTATCTTCACCGCAGGATGAACTGCCAGAGGTTATCATACGCTATACCTACGTAAGCCAGCGTCTACTGAATCTACTACTTTGTCGCCATCTTGATGTTGGCCTGCTTACGGCATGATGGTGCGGACGCCGATGAAGCCTCCCGCCTGTTCTAGATCAGCGATGGCTTCCGGGCAGTTGGTGGGTTCCATTCTCGATGTTGCGAATCCACATGCTTTGCACTGGTGACGCTGCCGCTGGGTTTAGGTTTACAATAGGGCTGAGGTTTACAGTAGGGGTAGGATTGACACCTTCAAATCGGGGTATTCGTAAAATCCCATTCATCTGCCTTTGGGGGTCTGTGGGCTGGGCTCAATGGTCTAGGGTTTAGTGGATAGCCAGTTCTTGGCAAGCCGGGCAGTCGGAAGCGTTGAAGCGGAAGGATGTCTTCTGCAAGCTCTGGAATAATCACCAACACACAAACCCTAAGCCCCAGAATCCAAAACCTGAAGCCTTAACCCCGCATAATGTGATGCTGAATAAAAAGAAGGTTTCCAGGAAGGGTTCCGCATGTTGGCGGCATTCAAAACATAGACGTTAGACTAGGGGTATACAAAGAATTACAAGGATGCACCAGGTTCAGTGCTTCAGGCCCAACCTGAAAAAGTCAAATGAGCATGACATGAAAAGTGTGTTGGCTGCTGGTTTTCAACGGCATGTGGAAGATGTATTCGTGGGTTTTTGGGTTGGCCTTAAGCTCCAGCTGAAACGGCTGCATTTCTGTACAAGTGCGAATGCTTACACCAACATTCTCCCCTCATGCGTTTGGACTACGTAACATATGTTACGTTTCGGCACAATATTCTGACTAAATCGGCCCCTCTACAAGGGCTTATGCTTTTGAGCTGTTGTAGATGCCTTTTGGTCATGGCGCCTCTTGTTGCTGATGCTGCCCCAAGAGCTGAGCGTAGTTATACGATTTCCTTAAGGTTCTTATATACTTATTCACCAAACCTACATAAGGGTCACTACTATAATGATCCCAGAGTATATGGTTATTCTACACTGGACCCTTGCTGTCTGGTTAGGCCCTCGATGGGCACTGATGGCCGGAACGCCAGAGGAGCTGGCTTAGCATTGGGATCAGAGCTTACGGTTTGCTCTATCTGCCCAACCAGCCTCTTTCAAGACGTGAGCCCATTATTGAGGAAGCCCGTCAGAAGAACATTCAGGGCAAAGGTAGCATCAAGGGTTCAGGATTGAGGGCGTACATTCTTGAGTGCTGCATCCTTGCGCAAGCTTCAACCCCTTAACGAAACAAAATAGTTGTTTCAAGCGAGCTCCAGAATGTGTTTCTGCAAGTGTGTAGCTTTTTTTCGGATGGACTTCTTATAGTAACATGGCGAGAGTGGATGCTGAAGTCTAAAGGAGGCCGAGGTCTTAGGGTCAAGGTTCACAAAGCAGCCGAAAGTGTTTAGGTGATTATGGTGACCTCAGCTGACTTCCGAAAACGGTGGCTTGCATGGATCCCCACCCAAAAAAGGCTTCATGTCAGATAACTGAGCTGTTCTAATTGGGTCTGGATCCTGAGACTTCATCGCTAGGTCGGAGAGGCTGCCGAAGAGCAAAAGCTGAACCCAGGGTGGGAAAACCCGAAGCAACTTGTAAAGCTTCTGCCACAGCTTGTGGTCACCTGTCTCCTCAGTGGCGTCTTTGCTTGGTCCAGCTGCAAACGCTTCTGCATGTGTGGTGCACTACCTAGAAATTTTGGAGATATACGCGGTGTCTAGATATGATCCTTTTCGATTACTACAGCCCAAGTTGCAGGGTCACTGAGGTTCGTGCATGTCGCTTGGGCCTGCAGGCTCCATGCAGCAGCAGGGTTCAACCCTAAACCCCAAACCTTAAAACGACCAAGAGCCAGTAGCCCCCTCTTAATTCTTAGAGCGTAGCTGATGCATCCCCTTGGGGTTTAGGGTTTCCAGCTTGGAGCCGCAAAGCTGCGTAATAAGTCAGCAGATGGAGTCAGGACCCCTACGAAAGAAATCGAGATTGGAGCCTACTGTTGAGCCCTGCTCTTTTGTAGCTAACACAAGTTCACCTGGCGAGCGTGGCCATTCCCAGTTGTGGTGCGACTGGTTTTGCGCGCTCCTGCTTCCGAAGACAGTTGTCATATCCGAAAAAAAAAGAGTAAGCATAAAAACGACTAAGGTTGTGTTTCGGGTTTAAGTTTAAGTTTGCGCCATGTGAAGTGTAGGGTACCATACATCCTTGGGAGGACATCTTGAAGGATGAGATAAACATGTACGGCCCAGTCCAGAAGGCGTTGGGAACGCTTGAGTTTGGGATGAAACTGGTTTAGGCTCAGGGTTTTGAGATTGAGGGTTTGGACGTTTTTGTCAACAGTTTCAGCTGGCAGGTTCAGCAGCTCCGACGACGTTGTTCGTTTTTCGATCATGGCTTTTGGATTTGGGGTTCAGCGAAGACTAGACCCAACGCATCAAACCCTCATTGGGTGCCATGACCGCAAGGGGTCCAAACTGAGGGCTGTAGGGGATGAAGATTTTATGGCTGTTGGCTTTATGGCTTAGAGTGTAGGAGCACATGCAGTGGATCTTCTGGTGGTTAATCTGCTTGGGAAGATGAATCTCCTTTTCTATTTGAGTCTTGTTCAGAGCGGTGCCGCGCTTCCACATCACCAAAGATATCGCTTGCCTATTACCTCTAACCCAGGAGGCCATTAGTGAGCACCGCTCCCCAATTTGTTGGGGGTTACTGAAACTTGCATTTTTTCAGGGCCCTAAAGAATCTTTTGGGTACTGTGCCGATAGACCGTAAAGAATACAACCCCTTACCCGAGCTATAGAGGCTTGCAACCCTGACGCAAGCCCGAACTTGAACCTGACTCCCGACAAATTCCAACCCGTGCGAAGAGGTTGTCTTACTGCATCCGGCTCGCTGCAGGCCTGGACGTTCCTTCAGTGGCCCATGGGCCTCTAGCGGTTCGAAGGGCTCTGCAGGATTTAGGCCTACATGTGCGTATTTGTTTTCAAAGAGTTCTTATTCACAATAAGCTCCAAATCCTGAACCACAAAATCCTTAACACTGTACGCCCTAAATCGCTATAAGGGTTCAAAGTGCAGATTGACAAGTTCCTGTGTTGCGCAAAATCCTGGCCCGTAATGTCAGGAACAGGGGCCCAATACATGACTTGGAGCCCCTTACATAGACCCAAGATCGTGCAGCCCTTAGGACCGTGAAAGGGGGCCCACAATTTTAAAAACTCTACTCTGCCTAGACTCTACATATTTACCCTCTAAGATTGACCTCTGTGCAGCCTTTAAGGTGAAAGCCAGGGAGTGCCTTCATGGAATGGGAGCTAGCTTGCTTCTGATGCCGTTTTGGGTTTGGGGGCCTAGGCAGCTTTGCAAGACATGCGGGAACAAAAAACAAGTTGATCCCTTCCCCCTGGTGTTAAACGTCTCCCCCCCACTTAATGCATGCACGTGAACCCGGAATTTTAGATAAGGGGTTCTTTTTATCGTAGGACCCGTATATTGGGGGTGTATATGGCAAGGAGAACGATCTCGAGTACGGTGCACAGGCCCACGCGCGGGCCACAGGCTCACTGGCACGCCCCCACGCGCTCACGGGCGGCATGATCAAATTTAATTAACATTAAAACAAAAATCGATTGAACCCAGTCAACATGGATGAAACCTAGACCTAGTCAAAGTCGTAGTAAATCATTTGAGTCAGGTCAAAACCAACTGAATCCCAATTGAAGTTCTAAATGACACTGTTTTAAATCCCATGTAAAATCGTAATCAAGTCAATTCAAGCCTCTAAAGTCCAAGTAATCGAACTAAAGCCCATAACACATTGATTTCGAATTAAAATCCAATTAGCATCTATGTGAAACGAGTTGAAATCGCATAAAAGCCAACAAGCCAAGTAAAGAAACATTCCCATTTCATGACTCCCTGAATAAGGACCCATCCAGAACAATAAAAATCTTGGAAAGCAAGGAGATCCCTGATGCCTAAGAGTCATGCTAGAGACCCACCCTTATTCAGAGTGTCTGAGCCCTGATTCACTTTAGTTCTAGCCTTTCTAGAAGTAGTCTTGGGGCCAGATTTCGTATGTTGGAAGTCTGTAATATTAGTAGGACGGGATATACATGCAGGGAGGCTTTGTAGTTCCCGTGTTGCGACACTTGTCTGGGGGAGTGCAACATATGATCCATTGCAGCTGTCAGCAAATTCCTCCTCCATCTGGTTGCCTCCACCCTAGACCATGAAACCCTATAGATCCTAAGCCCGATTAATCTCAACGTCTTGAACCCTAAATCACAGCCCTGATAAACCTTCAAGCCTATAGATGCTAACCCTGAGCGCAAAGTCCAAACAGCTCAGCCCCGAACCCTCAACCCTATGAGCCCTTGACCCTAACTCCTAGATCCTCCTAACTCCCTTGTCCTTCAGCAATGTCAGAAAAAACCTCCAGGCCACGCCAGAGATGTGCCTTCCTGATCTACGAGACCCCGGAGGCCAGTTTTGATGTTTCAGTTTGAGGTTTCTGCTACAATCCCTATCAGGCACTTGAGCGCAAGAAGGCGTAGGCAATGGGCGCTGCCAAGCCCCGGATCCAAAAACCATCCCCAAAACCTAAATCGAGAGGTCCTGATGTTATCTGACCCCTTTTTCTTAGGTTTGCGAAACCTTCCCTGTACCCCTCAAACAGCCTAAATCCACAGCCTTCAGACGTCAGAAACAAGCCGCCGTCAGACTTGATTCGAGCCTACAAGCCCCAGCCACAGCAGATCTGCTGCTCGCCACAGCCGTACGCCCACACTGGGGTTGTCGAAGTTTTCCCTGCCTTTTCGGTCCCGACTGGCGCACTTAGTAGACTTAAACGGATGCTAAGCCCTGCAGAAGATCACGAATGTATTTCAAAGTCGCCTCCTCGACCTCCACACAGGCAGCAAGATGCGCACAGCAAGCCCTACACAACAGCTACAAGTTAGCAGCCCAGACGTGTCATTGAGGTTTGGTTTGCATTTTAGGGGTTGGTGCTTTTTTGGTTTGCGGGTTCAGGGCTTGTTGTTTACATAAGTGTCTTTGGGTTTGGTTGCCGACTGTGGGGATTGCAGTGTTCAGTGTATGGGGGTATGGTGATGGGCTTTCTTTGGGTTCTTGAGAATGCAATTTGTGGGGCAGGCCTACACCAGAGCAGTAGTTAGCCCTGCACGCAACACCCTCATCCCAGATGCCCTACATGAAGCCCAAAACCACCCATTATCCAATGGCGCGTTTTTCATGTTGCTCTTGGTGTGGCCCAGATATATTTGTTTCATTGGGGGTACGGACGGATGAGACATCTCTTCTGAGAAACGCCATGACACAACTGTTATCCTAAAAAAGCCTGTCGCTGAGCATTACGTGAACCCTTGCGCAGAAGGCTTTCGGGGCTGTGCTCTAATGTTCAAAGATCCCATGTTCAAGGGCATACTGTAATCCTAGGAAGCCTTAAACGCTAAACCCGAGTGGATAGCTTGAACCACAAATCGTCTGCTTGAAGCTTTGGAATTGTATAACTAAGCTCATATTCAGCAAGGCCTTTACCGTAAACCTCAAGACCCAAACCCTGACCCTGTATTCTCTCTAAGGGTTGCATTTAGGCACTGTAGGAAGGACTCTTAGTTCTTGTTGGAGCATCCCTATGTATTTTCTGCTCTATGTAGTTGAGACTTGCAAAATGACACATCTACAGGGTGGTCCTGCGTCACCGTTTTTGCCACAGTAATGCCACTGCCTTTCGTATCACGGTTGAAATGTCTGGATCCTTAACCTCATGAGCTCTGGACCCTGGACCCCTCAAGCCTAGCCCCAAGGCCCTAACCCAGAACCCCGCCGGAAACTTGGTCATGGGGCGCGTACGGGCTTTAGCACATTCGGAGGTATGCAGGACGATGCCGACATGTGCGGAACTGGGGTAAAACGCACATCGAGGCAAAAAGCATTCTGAGACCATGGGGCGCAAACATTGTAAGGCCTAATTATCTGTGAAGTCTGGCTTTGCACGTTTTACCACGGCTTCCCGGCCGCAGTTTCGCGCGCGTTTCCAAAGCAGGCGCAACTACCGCAGTCACGTGCTCGTAGCAACACTGAAAATATGCTTAAGCAGACGGGCCCGTACAGGCGGCGTCAGCAGAAAGACTTACGCCCTATGACCCTAACTCAGAATCCGTGAGCCCTAAACCTTCACTACCTAGACCCAAACTGCCCTGAACTTCAAAGCCCAGAAGCCCAGTTCAAAACCCCAAGCTGTCCTTCCGTGTATTCCAAACCTTACAGTGCAAGAAAGCCATAACTCATAGGAACGTTAGTAATCTGAGTATACTTTGGGCTGCTTTCTTTCCCTAAGCCCCTTTAGAAGCCTTGAATCCAAGCCTTATTCCCCAGACCTCAAGCCCTAAGCCCTCTGTACTCAGAAGTCCTCAAGACCTCTGGGCCCCAGGTTGCGCGGGAGCAGGATTCAGGTCACCTTTGCGAGGAAAAGTGCAGACAAAGGCACGGAGTTCAGGGGGGTACGGGGCCATCCCGGGATTTAGGGGGCCAGGGGGTTTGCGGTGGGGATGTGACGGCATAGGGGTCAAGAGCTTAGAGCTGAGGATTTATGATTTAGGACTTCGAGCATTTGGATGTTTGACATAGGTTTCTGGGCTCATTGATGAGAACTCGGGGTTGAGGGTTCAGGGTTGCAGGGTTTGCACGCAGGTTTTAAGCGTTAAGTGTTTCTTTAGCGCACCTAAGTACTGTGGTCAGCGAGATCTCCATCACTGTCCTATAAATTTTCGGAGATGACGCATAACGTTGTGTGTATTTGCATATGCATATGCTCCCCCCCTGCCACAGCTCTTTGCATTTTACTCTAGTTCATGGCAGTGCTATTTCCAGGTCAACAGATCTCTAGACAGTTCCAGCCGGACCTCACTGTGCGCGGATCCTAGTCTGCTCTCCAATCGGTTTAGCTGGAAGTCTTTCCGAAGCCGAGTCTTGTGCTTCTCCTTTTTTCCTCGTTTTTGGGTTAACCGTTAACCACCCTCATGATGGGAACTTCAGAGGTCTAGGTAAAGCCTGCGAAAAAAGGTTTGGGCTCAGTCGTTGAGGTTACCTGGAATTTGGCAATTAAAACTTTTTGATCCCATGCGCATCTATACACGGCCAAATTGTAATGTGTAGCCCTTTGTGAGTAGCTCCGTAACACCTTAGTAACCCCGGGATCCGGCAATGTATTTGCCCCGGTTGAGAAACACCCTTCCAGATTCAGGTTCAGGAGAACCTGGCAAGTATCCGTGGTTTAATTCGTAGGGTGTAGGGATTACGTGGAGGTTTATCTGATAGCTAGGGTAGCCTACCTATAGCTAAGTCCAGAGGGGTTGTAGGTAGGCTGAAAGAAGTAACTAAGTCCCATCAATCTGCAAGTAGGATTTTGCCATGAAACTCTCTCCAGCAGTCTTGGCAGCAACCTTCAGAAGTGCGTTTTTTTTTTTTGCATCGAAAGAGCTTATATGCAAAGTGCAATCTTGAATGCTCATTGCTAAGACCCACGTCTACGCACTCTACCTAATATGCATCGGCCACCTGCTTGAGTCCGCATCATGTTTAACTTCTTGTCTCCCAGTTCACACCATATACATTGTTCTACATCAAGGGAGTACCCCGTCAACTATGGCAAGGTCCTTATGCATTTCAAGGAACACTCTCCGACTGCATTATTTGAGCTTTCCAGGACATTGTCTGCATGGATCATATAAGAGGTCTGTAAGGGAAATTCCGTATGTTTAAAAAGGGGTGTTGTGCTGTCCGGCTCTCGTGAAGGGGTTTGGCGAGCTGAAAGAAGTTCCACAGTCTCTCTTGTGATCTACAACGGCCCTCCGTTTTGTTGAACATGTTTACTCAGACTTTCAATTGCAAAGTGGAGGGGATCATGTTGGGTTCTGATTAGCCTGGGGCCCCTGAAATGAACAGGGGATCCTCTACAGTCAAAAGGCCCCAAATCGAATTGGGGGGCTTCGGGGATCCAATTGTTCCTATGAAGATTTATAAGAGAGGGCATTTTCTGCCTCCTATTTGACATCAATAGGGGAATGGAAGTGAGTGGTTCAGCTTAGTCTACCATCGTAGAGAATGAGAAGAGCTGAGACCTCTGTAATGGGTCCTAGCCTTCATTGAAAGGCCTTTGCGGTCTCATTAGTAACCTAGCAAGATATTCATTCTTGAGGTTCCGAAGTCCTGCTGGATTGTCCCTTTAGAATTGCATTGCCTGTAAGAAATCGTTGGGTTCTGGTGGCCTCAAATTGCAGATTCCAAGCTTCAGGATCTTGAAGCTTGCTCCAGGAACTTTCAAAACTGCCCTATTCAAGTCGGGACCCCCGATCAGGGTTGGTGCTTGGAGTGGAAAGGCCTAGATAAGGTTTGCAGAGGCGAAGGACGGACTGCGCAATGAAGTTCGGACAGTTGCGCGCCAGCGTTATGCATAGTTTTGGCACTGATCGTTTGGGCTGTTCCTGTGTTTATTGGGGTTTTAGAAAGCCCGGCAGATGCTCAAGGCTGAAACCCGAATTCGTAGAACCTCCAAATCTTCATAGAAGCCCCTACGCCAAGTATCTCAGACGAAACATGGTGAATGACTTCTAGTTCCAAAGGCGCCTAAGAAAATCCCCCCAAGCGTCAACCAAGCGCAATCAGGTTCGGCCCCTACACAGAGGAGGCCATTCCGTTTGCAATTGCTTGCGGAGGCTTCTGCAGACTGCCTTCTTAGACCCCTCTTGGTGCTGTTGGTTCTGCACCCTCTGAGTCTTTTATGGAAGTATAGAGGGTCGGGTACGCGCATCGTGTTTTCTGAATTTCTTTCATGTCTCTGATTGCCTCCTCAAAAGCTCCAGCTGTGAGAGCTCGAACACCTTGGCGTCCCCTCCAGAACGTCCAACCAGCGCCCCATGGGCATATGAGCAAGTAGCCCAACACGTGATACAAGCGTTTGTTTCAGAAAGCCCTTACACGTGTAAACCTGAAGTGGCTCGTAGAGAAATGCCAGGGCGGTGAACATGTCAGCGGCAGAGTTGCTTTTGCGCAGGTGCTCGCCATGAATTCCCTGCAGCTGATGTCGCTCTACAAAGCCCTTCAGGTGCTCGGCTGGTAATGAGCAGGGGTATGTTGAGGTTGGATTCAAAAGGGTTGCAATGAGAGCATTTAGTATAGGCTGCAGCCCATGCCAATATCCAACCTTTTTGTAAAACACTCTGTTCGGCTCATTGGGGCTCACGGGCCTGTTGGGTCAAGAGTGTATAATTATCCGGTTGTGCGTTTGTCTGCATATATGTGTAGAGGTATTCCCCCTGTGCGCTATGCAAAGACTCAGGACACCGCTACCCACATGAAGGCCCCAAGAGCAAACACGCAGCTCTACAACCATCACAGGAACCCGGAACCCTCAACTCCAGAAGCACGATTGGCAGCTGCAAGGGTACAGGGTGCACAAGAGATAAATAAGTTCTTCCTAAGAGGTTCTTCCAGCTTTTTATATGACGCGCGGTTTTTTATCGGTCATAGGAAATATGTAAAGGATGGACATTGGATTCGGGACGGAAGGTTCTTGATTGGATAACGATAACGCACTCACCAAAAACGATACAGTCAACTCATACCGAGGAACTTGGAAGACGATATGACACTCACCAATTTTCCTGTGACCAGTAGCCCAGGCAAACACAAACACACGTCATATCCCTTTTGTATGCCACGCACATGATGGCTCAAGGAAACCTTCGCTCTCACTTCAAACAAAAGCCTGAATGCCCTGATCTTATGGATTGTAGCACCTATACCACGGACCCTGACTGGAAGCGGCAGGTCCAGAAGAGAGAGCGACACGAGGCCACAGACGCAGAATTGACCTGCCTCAATATCCTGCCTCCATCACTACTCGCAAGCTTCGGTTCTGATCGTTCTGGTATTTGAGTAGCACTTATGGCAGAACACTGGGAGACATTATTCTATGTTGTAGTGCATTGCATGGCGGTCTGCGTTTTATCCTCCATTTCTCCATCTGCGGTTTCCAATTGGCAGGAGTACCTTATATTTTTAGGCCTGCAGTCCCTTGTCAGAATAGTAGAGGTTTTTTTTCAGGCTTCCCCAGTGCAGGGTGAAATCAGTGCCATGCGTGAGGAGGCATTGAGGAAATTTGGCTCAGCGATTTTTGACCCGCAGGGGGCAAGATCAGGCGCTCAGCCCGGTAAGTGAAAGGTTATCCTATGCACTTGGAAGAATCTTGATCATGGATGGTTGCAAAATAACTGAGCACCCACCAGCGCTGAGCATAAGAGAAGACGCTGGCAGCATAACAGAAAACTTAGCCCGGTTTTTTTTTTACACAAGGACCACAGTACTGATGGTTATTCGTGCGATACTGCGGGCAAACTCTCGAATATTTTAGTGCGATATAGCCTATACGTCAATATTTACAAGACTTTGGGATTCTTTGTGTAAGGGGAGTATGCCGGATAAGCAGCTGAAATACATGGGAGGTTTCCAGAGCAGGTACAAGATTTCCTGCGTACATGGAACCCATAAGCAGCTCAACGAAGACTAGTGCCCACCCTAAATCTTAAACCGCAAAGCCACAAGTTGGGCCCAGTTTGAGCTTCATGTTGGAAGTGCGTGCACATTAATACTGGTGCTTGATGATGGGAGCTCAATGTCGCCACTCTACAGTCGGACCCTGAAGTCGTAACAATTTTACGGTTTTGCTTGCCCACACTGCGGAAGTAGAAAACGGGAAGTCGCAACGATCAGCGGTCTCACTGGGGATTTGA